GAATATATTGCATTTTCATTTAATTTTGACTTATCAAGGTTCTACTGAAATCAATTTATCAAAAAAAAAATGACTGCAGGGTAACACTTACTAATCATAGTTTGATTGCCAAATATTATTCAGTACCTTAATTTTCTAATTCAAATTAACTTTAAAACATATGTAATCAGTATCCATGAGTAGGTTAAATACACATGTTTAGTTTAATATTATGTAAATTAGGTTCACTTACCTATCAGAACTTGACGATGATGATGAACCTGAATTATTTTCATTATTTTGATCAGAGTCTGACGATTCTTCTTCTGATACATTCTGCAATTTAAATCGCATACTAGAGACAGATGGCAACATGTTGGCTACCAAGTCATCAAACCAACTGTTCATCATTGTTCATGTTTTAAATAATAACAAATTGAAATGTATAGTTTATCTTTGAAGACGATTATTTCTATTTTTTTTTAACATCAAAATTACATATGCATATTTTCAACTCATCCCCATTCGAGTATTGAACTAAACCTAACCTAGATGAGCTTGTGACTGTTTTTATTTTATACACATTTGTTTACTTAGTCACAATTACATTATTATTATTTAATATTATAAGAATATCAATAAGTACTTTTAATTTTACCAATATAGATACTAAATAATACTTATTAGTAATTAATTATTTCACATATATAAATGCTTAAAGTTTTTGAGGAAAAAAATGTATAACTATAATTTTTTAATATTATTGAAAAATAATGGAATAAGTCATAACGAATAGGTACTTCATTCCAGTGTTTTTTTTATACTATATTATGTGGGAGATACCAGATTAGTTAATTAAAAATAAAGAATACCTTTATGAAAAATTGTTTTGTTCAGAAACTTTAATTTAAAATAAAAATATCTTATAACATTTATGTATGCAACATATTGTATCCTATAAAATCTTATAGATGAATAAATAGTTATAAATTAAATTAAAAACATAATAAAGCATTGGGAAAAAATTTGGAAAAATAGAACACTCACCTTCATGAAAATTGAGAATAAGATATAAATAATGTGTTCGCTACTGACAGTAGCTCAACTATTTTCACTTATTGAAACAAAATGAAGTCAAATATAACTACTGCAATTAATTATTAGAAATAATAAATTTATCATCAGTTGTAGACTTCTTGATTATAATGCAAATAACAAATAGTTATCGTAGATACTATAAAGTAAAAAGTTGTATCCAAAGACTACAATTATAAATTCTAAACAGTTACCTACCTTAACAGCAGTTAAAATACTTTAGCCATAAAATATATAATTATAACAATAAATTATTTGATAAATAATTGGTTGTATTTCATTTCTGCAAGAGAAATCCGCTTGTTCTATTTTACGAAGACCAATTTAAAAAAAAAAAAATGTTCTCTTATATGTTTTTATTTAATAAGCATTATATACTTAAAACTGTGTGATTAAAATATATGTATTATTTGTATAATCATTATGTTGAATTAACAGCCTGCATATACATAGAATAATACTGATACTGATAAATGTACTTAAATTCTAATATATATATATATATATATTTAGGAAGTATGAAAATACATTTATTAGAAAATACCAAACAAAATAAATTAGTGTTATAGATATGATGTGGAAAATTGTAGGACACAATTACTCAAATCTTTTATTTGTCATAACATTCACAATAAACATTTGGGCAAAGTAAAATGTAAGAATTATTATAACTAATACTTATTTTTATGTCAGTAGGTATAATGATCAAAAACTAAAAACCACATGAGCACCCTGTACATATTTAAGACAACAAGCAGAATAGAATACACCCACTGTAAAATATAGAATTATTTTTAATATATTAAATCATTGACCATTTTTCTATGTGCTCATCCTAACTTTAACTTAAAATTTTGAAAATGGGTCCGATTTAAATTTCTATGTTTCATACGTCTTAGACTTGGTTAACTCGTGGACTATTCAGAATTCAATAGAATTCAGCTGTCCAACAATTATAACTACTTTTATGGTACATTAAGTATTGAAGGGTGCTCTGATCAATGATCAATAATGAGTACAGATGTTTTAGTGAAAACATGTTTAAATGAGTAAAATGTTGAGACGCATAACGTCAGTCACTCTCCCAAAACTATATTGAAACTAAAAAATGGTTAATTCAAAAATTAAAAATATTTTACATAAAGCGTAGTCAATCAAGGGGTAGTTGGTTGCAGATCAACACTATAAGCACCTATTAAACTTATTAAATGACAATGGAGATAAATGATTTGAACAATGATGAACTCGATGGGCGAATAACTAATAATATTAAGCCAAAGGGCAGTATTCGAGACATTAAGCATATTATTTAAAAGATAAAAATGGATAGAAAAAACAGAAGAGAACTGCTTCTTACCTGGTGCATTTTGGGTAGCTAAAATAATCTTGTAAATTTTAGTGCCGCAGTTCAAAGCGTAAAAACGAAGAGGAAAAACCATATAAGGGTCGCGAGATGAAATAAATCGTAAAAACCGATTGTTTGAAAAAGGAAAAATGTCGAGAAAAAAAGATGCTTCACCTAAATACGGCCAGTGTTGGGCAGTCAAGGTGAGGAGGTGAAGTGGCACGGCCAATATCGTGTGCGTTTCGCGTATGGATACGATAATCGGGATTATTTAACACGAAAATCGACAACATTCGGTAATCAAGCAGACGTTTAAATTTGTTTTCAATTAACGAAATTAAAAGAGACACCGATATATGTTTAGGTACGAACGTGTACGAGTGTGCGGAAAACGGTACGAGACAAACAATAAGCGGCCATTTTGTGTGCAGTGAGATTACATGCAGTGGTAGTGGTACCCCCGCGCAACCGCCCACCATAACCGCAAACCCCGCTCCACCGCACAGTCAAAGCAACCAAGAATGACGTCGACAACACTGAATGCTTGGAAATGAAAATTGACCTTATAACGAAATAATTCTAATATTTTCGAAATTAAAAATAATGTAAACTATACTGGCATTATACACCAGATGTAGTACATATTGTAAACATTGAAAATATTTAACAAGCAAACTGAACATAACAGATGCAAATTTAACAGCATGGATTTTCTACTGCTGAAAATTAGTTTTCTATGCCATGAAATTCGGTATAGTGGTATAATGGTTAACACAACTTATATTTTTGCGCAGCACTACACGGTTTTCTCCCCTCTTATAAAACAATAACACATAACAAGCAAAGTAATTGAAAGCGAAATGATGGTGAAGACTGAAGATTATTAATACAACTTTTTTTAGTATACGATAAATGAGAGTCGACTTGATAGAAACAAACAAAAAAACTTTAAAATAATAAATAGTTTTAATATTATATCAATATAAGAAAATGTTCAATAAGAACATTACATTAACACAAATTTATTATCATTAATATATTTAACATTAATAGTTTGTACTGTCATGTACAAAAAAAAATATAATAAGAAACATTAAACTGTTACTTAATATTGTAAGGAGGCACACAAATAATTTTCTAGTAACTATTAAATAGTAAAGTTGAATGAAGCATGATGATTATCAAATTTTATAAAAATTATTTTAGTTCTAAAATATAACTTTTTGTGAAAAATTATTTTAATTGCATAATACTAAGCTAAAGAGTATTTTACTCATAACTAAAAAAAAATATTTTTAAAAGTCAATCAAAAATTATTATATAAAATAATTATAAAATTGATAACATTTATTCTTATAAATTTTTTACATTATTTTTATAATCACAAAATTTGTAGAACTAATTGCAGACTTACTTGCAACATGCCAAAATTATAATTTTCGTTGTTTTCTTGATCTTAAAGGATTCCATGATATTGGAGTATCATCAGTAACAGATATTATTTTAAGACCACCCATAGTAAGGCCTTTTATTGAGGACTAGAACAGAATCAATTTTAAACAAATTAAAAAAATATCTACTAAATAAAAATTACCAAATACCGTACATTTGAAGTTTTTCTAACAAATGGTGAAATACCACAAGATATACTAGATATATGGACTTAACATCACTATTATAATGATTGGTTGCATACTCACATCTATTGTCCCTTATAACTATAAGATAAGAATAATAAGTAACCTGCTTACTATTGAATAACTATCTTACTTTCATTTAAAAAGAGACCTAATTACACTTAACAACAAAATTAGATTTGAATTATTTGCATAATAACCTTAGTTTCAAAGAAAAAATTAGATTTAGATACTTCTGAGACAGTTTCCTATTTAAATTTTGCTGTGGGCTTGACATAAATATCAAAATTAAGTACCTATCAATGAATAAATTATATAATAGGATATAAAAATTTAAATCAAAAAACACTACAAAACAGTACATTGTATGCAAAAATATTAAAAGAAAATGGAAGGACATTAAAAAAAATGTATTGTGTCTAGAATTTTGATGGTTAATGTATACAATGAAGTATAATTGAATATTAAATAATGAAAAAGCATATAAGAGGTATTATAATTATTTTTACCATTCTCCCAGGTCCTAATCCTCGAATTGTAACACGGACTGTATGGATTCCAAAATCTAATGCTCTCTGAAAAAAAAACAGATTGTTTTAATTTAAATGAAATATTTAACTTAAAATTAATAGTATCATAATTAAATTATAAAATAAGTTTTATACAACTAAATAAAAAATATAATTCGAAATTAAACTTAACTTTCTTCAAAAAACGAGTTAACTTAAAATATATATAGAAGACAACAATCTAAAAGACTGGTTGAACTTGGATAATTAATTCAATTGGTATTTTAAAAAATGAACAATGGCCAATAAAATGTAATAAAAAAAATGAATCTATAAATAGTAATAACTACATAGATATTTTACATTTTTTCATGAAAAATACCATTTATTATTCATTAGAGAAAATACCTTGTATACTTAATCATTAATAGTATTTCATAAAATTGTTAAATGATAAATTTGAAATATTTGGTATAAATAAATAAAAAAATTGTAAATTAGTAAAAATGGGAGTTGTTAACTATTTTATTTTGATAAGTGGTTGGTAGTTATAAGCTTTTGTAAATGTATGCTAAAAAATTTAACTTATTTTGCCAAAAGTATGAAATATAACTTTGCGATGGGTTTCTCGTTACCAGCAGAAAAAGAAATCAACATAGTTGTAACTTTAGAAGTTTAGACATTAAGTAAAAAAGTTTCGTGTTTTGATATTTCCTGGCAGAAATAATTATCACTTGTAGGTAAACACCTATTTTTTCTTCCTGTGTTTATAACAAAAAAAATATAATTGGCACATTTTTTTCCCCCAAGAGGTTGCAAATATAGGCTTGTGTATATCTACTCATTCTAGAAACAGGTTTGTTTTAGGCTGGTGTCATAATAAATGCATTTATAAATTCACATGTTACATAGGTTTTTAATGTAAACTGCTACGACAACTTATGAAATAATATATGTTCAGTGTTGTTAAAACACATGAAAGCATTTCCATTTAAAAGCTGTGACAAAAACGAATGGTATGCCTCTCCCACCCAAATACTCTGATACATTTTAGACTAGGATTTGAGTTGCATTCTGATTTGGTAAAATTTGATTTTAATTAAATCGACTAGGCTTAAAAGTACTATTACTCCTTCACACTCTAAGTCCATTCAAATGTATTATTTAGAATATGAAAAAATAAAGTTTTTTTTAATTAAACAGTTAGTTTACTTAGTGATATACTTAACTTTAGTGTTATGTAACACAAATAAAAAAAAATTTGTTAATATTTTTAGAAAATAATAAATGCTTACTGTAGCCAAACCAATAGCAGTAGCTTGGGCTGCAATATTAGTTCCTTTTCTAGTATTTTTGAATCCTTCCATACCACATGACCTTATCATTATTCTTTCACCTAAAATACCAATGTTTGAATATAAATTTTTATTTGACATACAATTAACGATAAGAAAATATTGATATTATCTAATTTATGTATAAAATAAATGTAATAACAATTACCAAATTTAATTAACATATTTTGTATTGTATTAATATTATAAATACTATTATAGGTATTTTCTTTTTAACTTAAATTTATATGTGTAAATCAATATTGTTTTTAAGAAATCATTTATTAATACACAATTAATTGATCACAGTGAAAATTGTTATTTACACTATCCACCTAGAGCATAATATGAGCGTGCAGAAACCAAAACCAGTAGTTTACTAAACCAATGATACCAACTAGTGATCTAACTAATAAGAGAGCAACCTGTAAAGTCCCGCAGTTGAATGTACGAGATAATTATATTCACTCCTTAGAATGTGTAGTAAATAAATTTATTCAAACACAATAATTGATTCTTGTTTAATTCTAGAACTAGGTAGTTGTATAAGTTTGAGATTAAGTGCAGCATGATGTCAAAAATAATACTAATTAACAATTTACTATTTAATTATGTAAGGTTAATATGAAGTCAACACTTTTAAAATAATGAAATAGGATAGAAATTTAAAATTGGTAGGTATTGATACCCTTTCAAATATTCCAGATACATATTACCTAAATTTGAATTTTAGTATTGGATGTTTTTAGTACTTATGCAAGACATAAAAAATTTTACATTCACAATAAACCATTTCGGTTATTTTTAAAAATCTAGGGTGATTGACCTACTATATTATTATATTAGTATTACTATATTATATAATTTGAAGGTAAGATTATTATCTAGGGTATCTCTGAGGCTTTTAATAATATTTTAATTAATCATTTTAAAATGCTCATAAGTTGTTGAGAAAATAAAATATCTATGAAATCTGTAGACACCCTACACAATAATCAGATTTCCGGTTGTTTAGAATATCAGGTTATGTCATTATTAGTGTTTTTGGCAAAAAATGGTTCAGTAGGTTTAACTCATAGAAAAAAAAATGTCCCAAGAAATATAGACAGTATCTGCTCAGAATCGTTTATCATTAGATTTCTTTAAACACATCCATTACTATGACCTATTCAATGACAAAGTACAATCAATACCTAAAAATGAGCACTACTTCCTTGCATCATTTTATAAAATTGTTATATCCAATATAATTTGAACTCCAGGAGAATCAATGACTCATAGAGTCATCAATGTTAAAATAGAAGGATAGAAAAATGAATTTCACATTTGATACAAAATTGAATTATTACATAGGTATTATCTTAATAACCTAATTTTAGAATAATAGATAGGTACCAAAGAACATTTAAATTTAAATGAAAGAGATATTATTTTTAAAAAAAAAATGTAAAATACAATATAATGAACAACAAAAACCGATTTAGGTATTTAGTATAAATAGAAATTTATTCTTTAATAAGTCATTAAATGATATCTTGTTTTATTCAAGTATATTATGAAATGTATTATAGAATAGAGTTGGCTTAATTAATAACATATTGACTATATTAAGTTTAGTGTTTAAAACTAGTAGCAAATTAATAAAAGAAAATATTTCAAAAACTTTAAGACTTACCATTAACCTTAGTGACATGAAGTATTGTATTGTTTCTAGATGATTTAATGTGACAAATAGGTACATCTGAGAATTTAACTCCACCAAAAAGCATATTTGGCGTATTTATGTCAGGGAACATTTCTTCTTTCCTCAAAAAAATAAGACTTCAAAGTTATTACAAGTCCGGTAGACAATAACAAAATGTTGATCATTGTCGTTCGCACACAACGTAATAAAGACCAACAAAAATGGCGTCCACGCATAGTACGAACAAATATGCGTACCTATCAACGGCGAACAGATGAATCGATCGAAAAAAACTCACTTGGTGATTGCGGAATCGATGAAAACGAATTTCTCGCCTTCGGTACCTTCGTCTTTACGAGGTACCGAGGCCAAGAAACTACGACGGTCCCTGTTCTTTTCTAATGGCACAGCTACGTGTATCAAACGGTTGACGGCATTTTCTCCGCCCGGAACGGCGGTCGTTCGTCGACAAAAGTCACGTAAGACGCGTACCAACATCGTTTAAACAACGGAACACGGGTGTTTGCAAGAAATTCGATTTTTGTTATCAATTGTAGTACGTTTGGGACAATTTATTTACAATAAATCCATTACACGCATGAGGCACTCACACGCCGACCAACAAAGTAACCAGTACAAACGGCAAAATGGCGAACGACCTAAAATGATATTACGCGATGTGAAAGAATAAGTAGCGAGTGGCGACGTAGAAGTAGAATACGCCGCGGTCGTCGTCGTCCTCGTCGTCGTTACTCGTTTTTCACCGTTCACACCATGTCCGGTGGCGCCGTGGCAGCGTGGCCAACGGACAACGAATCGCGATCAAGAGTATACACATCACACAATTATGGTACGATACAGATAACTTTCAACACTGTTCAACCAAATCATTATTGCCAACCTGATGCGCCGACACAGCAATATATTATTACAATAATATGAGTTTTCAACAGCCTGCGGTATAGAACTATTTCATGACGTATTCTGTGAATATTAAATGAACGTAGGTCATAGAGCTATACACTCTGGTAAAGATTATAGAGCTCTACAGGACCCTACTTATACTGAAATAATTTAATGTCAATATGACTATATTGGTTTTGGTTAGCTATAATACCTTAATTACTAGCCAAATTAGAATCAAAAATATAAGAAAATATTTAATACATATCACCTATGGTATCTTAGCCATGGGTATACTACGCTAAAAATCGTTGTTAAATACTAAAATCTTATAGAAATGAGGTGATAATGAATGATTATATAAGTGTTTTATCAGTTACTTCACTCAAATAGAAAGTGTTTCCCGGCGTATAGTATAGGCAAAATAGATGCATATTACAGTGTTCAATCCATACCTATATAATTAGTAATTACATTTTAGATCTTTAGCTAATCGCAACTTCGTTCGCCGAGAGAATGTGGTTGCTCAAACTGCTCAAAGACCATGAACTAAATCAAACTATATCTTAGTTCATCGTACAAACCAAATCTTGATCCGTGGTATAGCTACAAGTGCAAGGCTGGTCATTAACGAGCTAATAAATTTAAGTTAAATTACTTTTAACTAAGTTTATTAACGAGTTACTTTTTTTTAGATGTAACTTCTTACTTAACAATTTATATTTTTTCCCGTGTTATACAGTTACTTATGAGTTAATTAATTTACTATAAATTACTGAAATACGAATTTACTAAATTTACTATAACCTCAAATGTAGTTTATGCGCCCCTTAGTCAGTGGCACACCTTTTTGCATATTTTTTTTATTGCGGTTTTACAACTTTTAAGTTAAAAGGCACTTGAATAATAGCAGTATAATGGCCATGGATTAAGATATGTTAGTCCTTGATAATGGCCAATGGGTGACAAATTATACACAAATACACAGTTGTGATATAGTCAAGACCGTAGCCAGAAAAATATTTAGGGGTGGGTTTTGAGTATAAATATGTTATATTATATAATAAAATATGAGAATCAAGGCCGCAGCTAGAAAAATACTTAAGGGGGGTGGAGGTTAGAGTATTAATATGTTATATTATATAATAAAATATAAAAATATTATTTAAATTAAATTCATCTTTAATAAAAAAATAATTAAATCTTATTTCAAAAAAAATTTCGGGAGGATTTGAACCCTGACCCCCCCCCCCCCTGGCTACAGCCTTGGATTAGTGTTATTAATTATTACAGTTAGTAATAAAATATTAACACAATCGTTAAAAAAATAAAATTAAGTGAAAAAGGCGATATGAACATTATAAACTCGCATATTACTAATCTATATATATAAGAATCTAACTTGATTTTGGAGACGAAGGAAACCGGGTTTGAACCCTCATAATAATAATAATAATAATCAACTAATTACCAATTATTTTCATATATTCACCGATAACGATGTCTGTTTCTTTTTTTTTTATATATAATCATTGTATTATTTGTATAGCCAAAAAATAGTCTTATGTTTTTAAATTAAATTATAAAAAAATAATTTCTTCCGGAGGAAGATCGGGCAGCTAGTATATTATAACTTATAAGTTATAAGATCGCAATATCTTTAAATATTTTATTTCTCGACAACGCTTACATTATTGCCGATCGTCTATTTACCATATAGTGTGACAAAATATTGATTTTTACTCAAAATTTTTTTTTGCACCATCGCTCTTTCGATCTTGAATCTTATTCAACTACTATTATAATAACTTGTGAGAAACCTTGTATTAAATTTAAATTTTCAAACATTTCGACCTAACAAAAATAAATTTATTGACATTTATAGAAAAATAAAACTAAGCAATTTCAAATTTCAAATGTCTATAAATAACTCAAAACAAGGTAAAATATTTTGAACATTTTATCATGTATAGCAAAATTATAAAATGAAAAATTGATGACAATTTCAAGTGTCTACAGTTGTTCAATAAAAACAACAAAATCGTTGCATGAGAATGAGTTAATTATGTCCAACTTTAAACGCTCGTAAAAAATTAATTTGACTTTCCACTAAGCTTTTTTTTGGTAAATGTAGAAACTTAAGGAGAATTAGTTTTCGTATACAATGATATTATATCTATCAAATTTACGCCATCCATTAGTTATTACTTATTAAGTACTCATGTTTAACCTAGGTTAATAGATATAGATCTATGGCAGTGGCCCACAGGCCACAGGCCACAAGACAGAAGACGCGTAATGCTCAGCAGAGCGGTACCCACTTGCTCACCTTTCGTTGTTGTTCCCAGTTATATTGAAAAGTATTCGAACTAGAGTATAAAAATAAAAGAATTACTTTTGACCCCCTATAAATTTTTGGGTTACAACTATAGAGCCTAGATAATAATAGAAAATGTATGATATAGGCTCCCTAGTTACAACCACATAGCTCTATAAAGATTCTTTATAGGTCTTTTTTCTTTTTTCTTTGTTATCGAGAACCGGGGGAGGCACTGGTGTTGGCATTGCTTCTCCACCGGCCCCCATCGTTTATTGTGCAAAAAAACAAAATTTTACAACGTTCTTTATAGGTCTATGCCCTATGGTTACAACTTACAACTGGCAAAAATAATGAAATCTCTTTTCTATCATGCAATCATTCTATTCCCAATCGCTGACTGTGGTTATCGGTGTGATAATTATTGTACCTTATATTTTTATTTTTTATCGTAGACAGAGATAGATAACAATTATATTATTTTTATCAACATAGTGTTTTTGCTCAGTAGTCAGTACCTAATCAATGTTTTATTTACATTATTATCTTGTATTCTTCCTTCTTGTTTATAATATGTTCATAAAAATTCAAATCACAATTCAATTTTCATTCCAGTTGTACTTTGTACAACTTGCATAGTTTGCTCTTGTATATTACCTTCATTTCATCCAAAACTTAATAAATACCCTACATTTTTTATTAAATATTTAATTTGATTAGGTTACCAAATAACTGCTGATCGCTATGGACCTAATTCAAGCTGTAAAATTATATATAATTAAGATGACAGAAGATTGTGGTCCTGGAATGAAAGTACTACTTATGGACAAAACCACTGTAAGCATATTGTAAAAAAAACATACATAAAATACTTTTTTTTTAAGACTAGTAATTATAAAAAAAGGAAATTAATATTAATATTAATAACTATGACAAACGATAAGTTAAATAGTTTTGAAATACAAATATATAAGAATTAACTAATAATTAGTTAATATATTAATATTTATAATTCTATTTTATATTTGTTACCATATTTTCCATTTATTTTGGACTTTATATTAAAATTTAATTGTAATTATTAAAATAAACTTTTTTATAGACAAGTATCGTTAGCGCAGTTTTTAGTCAGTCAGAAATACTCCAAAGAGAAGTATATTTATTTGAACAATTAACATCAACTAATAGTTCAGACAGCATGTATCATATGAAATGTATTACATTCTTAAGGCCAACTAGAGAAAATATATCTTTGCTATGTAAAGAGTTACGTAATCCTAGATACGGTTATTACTATATATGTAAGTAAATAAAATTGATGTTATAATAATTTATAATACACCAAAACAAATGTGTTCAACAGCGTACAATTTTTCAAGTATATGAATAATACTATAAATACTATTCTGTACTTAAGATATGGTATTTGGTTTTTGTTTTTTTTTTTTAATAATTTAAAATAATTAAAACCACTAATTGTGTATTAAGAGGACGTTGCATCCGCATGTGTCTAACACACATACAACATAGCTAATGTTTGGTCACTTGTTTCAATAGTTAATAAGTTTTGATATTAGATTGAATTGACCCATTATAAAACTTTTAGGTAAGAAAATTATCTGTGTTCTCTTGTGGGTTGTGTACCATATTTTAATTTTTAAGTTAATTATGAGAATTTTAAAATATTAATACTTAATATACTCATAACTTACTTAAAAATTAAAATATCGAAAACAACCGATAAGAGAACATAGATAATTTTCTCACCTAAAAGTTTGATAATAGGTCAACTTATATCAAAACTTGCAGCACATTTTGAAAACTAATGAACCAAATTTTGCTGTGTCGTACTCTCTTAATTTGCTGAGTAAGTGTAATTTTTTTTAGATTTCAGCAATATAATTTCAAAAACTGACATCAAGACAATTGCTGAAAGCGATATCCAAGAAGTTGTACGGGAGGTGCAAGAATATTATGCTGATTACTTAGCAATAGCTCCTCATCTCTTTTCGCTCAATATTCCATCTTGTGGACAATGTAACCAATAATCGTATGATCATTAATTAAATCATACCTGTTCTTAATTTTGTTATTATTTGTAATTAGGTCTGTCCTGGGATCCACTTCAGCTTACTCGATCTACTCAAGGAATTATTTCTGTTTTATTATCATTGAAAAAAAATCCATTGATACGATTCCAAGCTTCTTCAAAAATGAGTAAACAACTTGCTGAAAAAGTCAAAGTAAATTTTTATTTAGAAAAATTGTTTTCCTGCTACCCTCTTTTAAAGTTACAACTATCGTTTTGAGTCTGCAAACAGAAATTGTTGGTTGGACTAAGTTTGTAAGTTGTATCCTTTTGCTGTGTTTGCAGATTTTCATTTCAAAAAAAAAATGGACTATTATTGTGAATTGTTATGTAATTGTATAGTATTATTTTCTTTTATACTTTATAAAAACATAAAAATCTCTGTGTTCCTCCTAATTAGTTTTTTTTTAAATTTCTATACAAAGATTACTACTTAA